AAGAGTAAACCTGTCTAAGCCACGAGCTTAAATGGATATTTTAAATGGATATGTAAATAAATCCTTTGGTACTTACAGCCTTTATGGAAAAACATACAGTACAGCACCAAAGAGCAGAAGCTGAGCTTGTTTTTTATTAGCCTTACGTAAAGGTGACCACATACTTGTCAGCTACCCAGTAATAACACTCTGTAGGAACTATCCAGGGAGGTTCTGTGTGTCAGAGAGATTAAGAATGAGGTAGAAAAAGGGTTATCTCTGACCTATGGTGTCTTTATGACTAAAGATCTCCTTCAAGCCCCAGTGCGTTCAAAGAGGAAGTTTGTTAGAAGAATCCTGCAAAAACAAAGTGCTTGAAAGGGTAAGGAAGCCTCTAGGGGCTATATATTGTTATACGATTCCCCCTGACATCAGCAAAGTTTGCATACATGTCTTCCAGTAAAATCAATCTGAACTGTACATTTAGCTTCTGAACTCTAAACCTGGATGTGTGCTACACGTGTAAGCCAGTAGATTAGTGGATTTTTACTCCATCAGAAAATGTATTTAGGAGGAGGAGGGCTATACCATGGGAGTTAACTGAGCGAGTCTTTTTTGTTTGATCAACATAAAAATCTTAGCTTCTTTATGCTTTTAAAGCTTTGATTGCACTGATTCATGCTAAAAAGCTGCTTTAGAACACTAGAAAAGGTCTGTAATAATTTCATGACATCTTCAAGACATTACAGACTCTGGTCCTGATTCTTGTCTGACCTACTCTTTCTGTAGTCACTTGCATCAGGGCAGACTGATGATTAGAGCAGGTTACCAAGTCAGAACAGCAGCAGTGACTGCAGGACAGTGGAGATGGGGGAATTTCTCTCCTGTGGGGAAGTACGGAGTTTTCCAACCTCTTGCTAATCCCAGGAGAAATGGCTGTGATCTCATACTTCAGATGGTAGGTAGAGAACTCTTGAGTAATGCTTTCCTAACCACAACTGTGTGTTTGGACACTTTCTGCAGAAAATGCTTCCCAAAGTGAGCTGCGAGATCTGCTTTCAGAGTTCAACCTTTTGAAACAGGTGAACCATCCTCATGTCATCAAACTTTATGGAGCCTGCAGTCAAGACGGTAAATATTAGAAGCTCGTTAGTAAGATGAAAATGTCAAGCAAGGAAATAAAGAGCAGTTTGTTGATGGGTTTGGACCACTGCTTAATAATGGCTGAGCACCTTTTAATTTTGCTGCTGGCTGAAGAAATGGGGGACATATAAGAAAAGCAATGTTTGAAGGGAAGGGGAAATACTAATTCAGGGCAACTAAGTATTCTTCCTGTGGTTTTCTTCAATGCACAATTTGATTCTGAAGCTATTTTAAATTTAACCAATCTACTACCAATTCTCTTCCAATCAATATGTATTTTTATATTATGTTGATGCTAAGTAAGTGTTTGCAAATATGGGTTATATTTAAAGTTTAATGGAGTTTTCAATATTGTTATTATTCACAGGAAAACAATGCTTTGAGACCTGAGCCAGGGAGCAAGTTCTCCCTTTGGAAAAAAAAAAAAAAAGGGCAAAACAAAACAGAAAAAAAAACACCCACAAAAAAACCCAACTGAACAAAAAAAAGACAACTACAGATCCTTTTGTTAAAATATAGCTCGTTAGTTAGATTGATGCTCAGTTCTCCTCCTCCGTCACAAAACTGTTGTCTCCCTCTTGTGAAATATTTGCTAAAAGCAACAGTCATTGAAAGGTATATTTCAAGGAGGAAAATTTTCAGACACACATTATAAACTGCCAATGAAGCAAATTTTCACAGTTGTGCATAGGAATTGATCTGAATAATTTCTGTCCATGTTAAATGAAGTTGCACGGCAACATCCTCTTCCTTTTGCATCTTTAATTATGCAGCTGAAAATCACAGTATGCATGTTGCAACCTTGGGCAAAGGCCCGCCGCCTTTGCCCACCCAGTTCTGTTGCAAGTGGCACTTTTAGTTGTAGACAGAGAATATAATTCAGGACTGAGTCATCCCTGAGTCTTACTAAGGTAACGAACCAACGGGGCGGGATACATGTATTTTTTTCTTTTCAGTACAATGCATTTTTTCATCCCAAAGGAAGTGAATTATTTCTGAGTCACAGGCTTTTAATAAATACCAAGTTAATTCATTAGCGTATGGGGTGGGAGGGTTTTGATACAGCAGCCAGATGTATTTAGCATTAAAGCACTGAGTGTATATTATTCATGTGGGTAATGGGGAGGAGAAACTAATGGATTGAAATGTCAGAATATTTCTAAGTGCTCTGTAAAGGCACCTTAAATACAACACTGAAATTAGCAGATGATTTGGCAGCGCAGTGTCACACACTCCAGAAAAGTATTTTTATTTTAGGTTTTTTTGTTCAAAGTTTCTCCAAGTTGAGCTCTTTCACAGATCTGATTTGTAAGAAGGTTGTCTCTTTTTTAGTTTCAAATTATTTAGATGAGGGAATCTAGGCAAGAGCTAGAATTCTGCTTTGATTTAGGCTGAAACTCCCTCAGTTTGCATAGAGGATGTAAGCTAAAAATACTCTACGATTCCATGACTGATTCGGTGCCTTTTACGTAAAGGCCAGAGGTGTCTGGAGCCTCTGTCTGTTCAAAACAATGTGTTGATTAGAAGAGACTTATTTGAAAAAAATTAAAATGGTTATTTATTAATTGTTTACTTATCTGTGTGTGTGTTTATTTCAGGCCCGCTGTATTTAATTGTGGAATATGCTAAATACGGCTCCTTGCGCAGTTTTCTCCGGGAAAGTCGAAAAGTAGGACCAAGCTACGTGGGTAGTGACGGCAACAGAAATTCAAGTTATTTGGATAACCCTGATGAGAGAGCCTTAACAATGGGAGATCTGATATCGTTTGCATGGCAGATATCACGGGGAATGCAGTACCTTGCAGAAATGAAGGTAGGGCAGTGTAACAGTGATCTGAGCATGTCCTTGTGATAGAGGGACATGTCAGCAGTCAGTTCCTCCACAAGAAACATAAACACTATTGTTGGTTTCTTCCAAAAGCTTGTCCATCGTGACTTAGCAGCCAGAAATGTACTGGTGGCAGAAGGGCGCAAAATGAAGATTTCTGATTTTGGCCTCTCCCGTGATGTATATGAAGAAGATTCATATGTCAAGCGGAGCAAGGTACAGTGCATATTAAAGAAAGTAGTGGGAATTATTACCTCATCAAGAGAATGAATTTATACTGCAGGACTTGAGCACAGAAGAAAAAGACAATAGCTATTTTTTATGAACTTAGAATAATTGTCTATTTTAAAGAAATAAAAATTAAGATAAAGCAAAATTATGAGCTTAATCAGTGGGACAGTAATATATATATATGTGTGTAAAAAAAAAAAAGTTTCATATTTAAGTCACCATTACCTTCTCCACCTCTTTCTGTTGACTTGTCAACAAAAGCAATTTATTTCTAATATGTAAAAGTTAATAAAAGAAGAGTCACTATGGTGATTAAGGTCTTGGAATATCTGACATGCAAGTAGAGGCTGATAAGAGCCGGGTTTGTTTAGCCCCTCTTTGTAAGGGGGATCTTACTGATGTGTATAAATACCTGATGGGAGGGAATAAAGGCAACAGAGCCTGTCTGTGGCCCAGTGACAGGGCAAGAGGCAATGGGCACTATTTTAAATAGGAGAAATTCCATTTAAAGAAAAGAAAAAACTTTTTTACTGTAACAGTAATTGAACACTGGAACAGGCTGCCCAGAGAATCTCGATCTCTGAGGATATTAAAAATCTGTCTGGAAGTAATCTCAAGAAACCTGCTGTGGCTGGCCCTGCTCTGAGCAGAGGGGTGAGGTCCCTGCCCACCTCAGTGGTTCTGTGATCCTGTGAAAAGTTGCAAGTCAATACGTAAAGAGTAGGATGAGATCTGCTCGTTTTTAAAAGCTATGTGCCAAATAGTCTGTAATAAATTATTTCTTAAGGCTAGAGAGTTCACCCAGGATGCTTTAAAATAGCATGTGTTTTGTTAATGTGACTACAGAAGAATGACACCTTTTTTCACTGCAGGAGCTTTTAGCTATTAACTTTTTTACAGGTAGAAGGCAGACCATTTTTAAAATGAGGTGGGCCCTCTTACTTATCCAGTTCCTCATCGCACTGCTTGGAAACACAAACAAAACCCACCATAGTTCTTCTCAGTCTCTTTTCCTATTTATAATCAAAAATATAAACAAAAAAATCCCAAGGAGTCGAAAAAAATGTAGACAATTTCTATAAAGATCCTAATTTCAGGAATTATCACATCTATGCAGAAGACTTGAAGCAAAGGCCTCCTCCAAATACTTCCAAATGTATGAAAGATATCAAATCTTAATCAAAATGGTACTTCACAGGTTGAGGTAGATTAGGAGCTCATGCTACCTGCCAGAGGTTATTTAAAGCGATTCCATTTTGCCTGCCACAGTAAATTATTGTCAGGTGCCTAGACACAGTTCTGTCTGCTCGCCGTGCTCACGGCAGGACTCAGCATGCTGCAACGCTTCACCCACTATGACTGTGCAAAGGAAGTTTGATAGACAAGTTGTTGAGTCACATCACTGAAAAGAAACGTTTGAGCATAATAACTTTGAGACTACGAAGATAAGTTAAGGCTTATCATTTATTTATTCTTGTAAAAAACACTGTCAAATACAGCAAGCCAAATTCTGCTTCCTGCCTGTTTGCATCCACCCGTCACTGACATCCGCAGGACTTTTAAAAGTCAATCCCAGGCCAGATTGTGATGTTCGCTGACACTATTTTCTATTGACTCTTTCTAAGATGAGTAGTGTTGGTTCAGTTCCCTCTATGACTAAATATGAAAGAGTAGCCAACAGAATTTTTGGCACGTGAAAATTTTAAGAGTTTTATTAGAAGATTTCCATAAATACTGTGAATTTTCAGTTTAGTTTTCCCTAGGCCAGTTTGTGTGAATGTTTAAAAAAACTTTTTGGACAACATGATCACATGTAAAAGGGCTTTGCCATGTTCATTTAGCTATCTTCTGATATATGTGTTTTACATTGATCTATACCGGTTGCTCTATATTTTAAGTGTGATGCACTTACATAAAGGCAGTTTCATTCTATTTGTCAGGGTGTTGATGTACCGAATGGGTATTTTCTCTTTGCTTCCGAGACACTCGTTGCCGTAGCATTCTTCAGAGCCTAACAAGCATCTGTCTGCTTGCATAGGGAAACAGGGAAAAGAAAAAATTGAGAGGAAGGAAGAAGGAGAAGTTTCAAATCCTACTGAAACAGTTGTTGCATATATGTATGAATTTCATGAGAACACGAAGTAAGGCGTATAAATGCTAGTGATATTGTGAAGGTTATGAAGCATCTTGGAAATTTTGCAAAGCTCGATTTTCATGAATAACTGGTGAAGATCTCTCAGATTTCATCAGTGACTTTCTGCCAGTGGAAAGTAGCAACTTTTAGATTCAGTTTAGTAACCAATAACCAAATACGACTGCCCAGGTACAGTTCTGAAACCAAAGGTATCATAACAGCTGGGTGCTTCCATTTATGCATCATCCCTGATATAAATGAGATAGCTCTTCCTCATTAATCACCATTCACCATCATTTTTGCGTTTGCACATTTCCCAAAAGCCATGGGGAATGTTAGAAGACGGACATTCATGTCTGAAGAATATAACTCTTTGGATAAAGCTCTTTGTTAAGAGGATTAGAGTTGAGTTTATCTGACTTAAACTGGTGACCATCTGGAAAAAAAAATACACCACTTTATTGTATATAATTAGATTACTGAAGTGGGTGGAATGAAATGAATGAGTGATTTTAAAAACTTGTACAATTGTTCTCCTCACTTTTTTTCTTCTGAAATGCCAAATCATTCAGCCCATTGGAAAATATTAAGAGTATGGATAGATTATCTGTTACAGTTTTGAAGATAAATACCTTGGTTTTCCACTTGGAAACTTAATTTTCTGACCAGTAATTGCATTGTTGCTTTTTTCTCTGCTAGGGTCGGATACCTGTTAAATGGATGGCCATAGAGTCCCTATTCGATCATATCTATACAACACAAAGTGATGTGTAAGTGTAAATTCTTGCATTCTTTATGGTTTATGTACTTGTTTATGGAAATGAGGGCGGAAGCACAACACGGTACATAGTAGCTGAAGCTGTTACTCTTACAAAGCGGCATGAAGAACAGAGCCCGGATGGCACTATCAGCTGGCAAAGATACGTAAGATTTTTGCTGTTGAATTTTATCTGAAGAAAAGCTTATCAGAGGTGTTCAGGTACATGATTCCTGTCGAAATCAACCAGGGTTGGATCTGTTCATGTGACATGGTTGCCTTTGAATACATACACACAAATTATTAGTCTTTGCTAAAGATAATGATCATACCCCAACTTCCCAGTTCCTGTTCATCACTTGTCTGTCACACTTGCTGGCAGATGAGGAATAGGGTGGCAAGAAGAGAAGAATTTAATGCCAGACCTCACTTCTATTGAAATCAATGACAAAACTCCAATTAATTTTAATGACAGCCAGCTCCGATCTAGGCGAATAGTCCAGTTCCAGTGCCAAGATGCAAGTTCATTTGCATGATTAGGGAAACAGATCCTGAAGATGGATATGCTCCTTCCCCACCTGGGATGATGAGGTGGCAAAGCTATCACAGCTAAGCTGTTTTCACGGCTGATAAGCAAGGAGCCAGGCAGAGGAGCGTTTGGATACATTTCACTCAGGATCAGATACTTTAATTTCTTTCTCTCTGGAATGAATGATGCTTGTGACTAGTCACCAGGCAGACACTGTAAAACAAAGTATTATTTATTTAGGAGAAAAACCTCTAAGGGACTGCAAAAGCAGCAGTGCTTATGCCTTATTTTCTGCTAGGTAGCATTTTGATACTTTCTAAGTTTCCCTTGAAAGAGGATCTGACTATAGTAATGTTTTCATTAAACTCAAATGGAGTAAAACATACCAATCTCAATGACATTTCCCTTTGGGGGGAAAACACTTTGGTAATAGCAGTATGTGCAAATAGGAACCTTTTGATTTGTACTTCGAAAATTACTTACGTTCACCTTTTACTCTCCTCTCTGCAGGTCAGAGCGGTTTTAGTGAAATAAAATATTTTGCTTGCCTTAGAAATTCCTTACAAATAGAATTCCAAAATATTTTCATTTACTTTGTTTCACTTGAAGTAAGAAAAGAAAAAAGACTGGGGTAATTCTTGGGAGAAAGTCACTTTTACTTAGGTTTGCTTCAGGTTTTTTCCAAGTCTCTTTTTTTTATCCCCCTCAGAGGATAAATGTTGTGCTGACCTTCTCAACAGTGACTTTTCCCAGAGAATTGTTAAAATTCTTTTAAAAAATTCTTAGCATATTTTTAATTCCTTCATCTTCTGCAAAACAGATTTGTCGCTATGGTTTGGGACCAAAACAGATTGTGTTGTCATCTAACTGCCCGTTGTTTGATTGTTGATTGATCTTCCGGATCTAATACTATTCCTCCCTGTTTGTTTTCCTGATGGGCTGCTTCTAAGCCCAGGAGCCCACCTCTTGTATGTGTGCTACAAGACCACGCAGAGACTGCCCAGCTGGTGTTAGGGAAGCTAGCTCTGAGCCTGGGTGCTGCACCCTGGTGCTGCATAGCTTTACTGCTTCCCAGATCCGGTTTAGCATGTCCGTGTAAAGCCATGCTGATTACCAGCTTTCTTGGAGAAGCATCAGGCATTCTTGACAGAGCACTACATTGTGCTTTGTGGGTTCACTTCAATACAATGGCATAAAAGGTCTAAATATCTGCCACACTTACACAGTGCCTTTGACTCACTAGTGAGGTTACCTTCACTATTCATTTCATTATACATGAAGTAATCTAAGTGTGAGATAGCAGCTCATAATTTAGACAAGTCCCTACAGAACAGTACTGACATATGGTGTTGGCAGAGCAAATCCTCTCCAGCACTAGGTTCCACGAATGCCATTCCAACAGCAGCAAACTGATCAATGAAGCACTTTTTTTGCAGCATTGATTGTTATTTTAGATAATTACACTCACTGAAAATATTATTTTATGAGTATTCCTTTTTGTTTGTGGTGATATAATTATATTTTAGTTGAACATATATATTAATATACTCAATAACCCTTCCAATATGCTCTTTTTTCTGATACTTTCTATTTCCCAGCCTCTTCCTTCTAAAGGCTTTTTATATAGTTAGTGGTTAGCAGTGCTTAATAGCAGTACCACTTGCCAGCATTCACAAAATGCCTTTTTGCTTCAGAGGTCGATGACATCAGTGGAAAGCTAGCCTACTGTTTTCCTCTTCACATATTTTTCTTTCCTGGCTTTTTCTGATCACATTTTTATTCCGCAATAAACATAGGACAGTAGGAAATTTTTCAACTCCCGTTTCTCCTCCCACAGTACTTAATTTGTATAATGATTTGAAAGCGTTGCAGCATTCTACAGCATTCTGTTCTAATATGACCATTTACTAAACAACTTTAATTAAGAAATTATTAATCTGATCACTCCTTCTGTATTCTTTAAAATTCCTCTTGAGCAGAAGAGATGGATTTTAAAAATAAAACACGCTATGCTACAAAGTTTATTTTAATTAGTCATGGACAGAATTATAACCTGATGGCAGAGCATAATTGGCTTCAAAAACGGTATGGGGAGGTGTATTAATAAAGTATATGAAGATGCTATAAATATTAATTAGCTTGGAAGAATGTGCAGACTGATTAAAAATTAATTCAATGAATGGCATCAGGGAGAAAAATGGCAGCGTATCACTTAGGTCTGTGTGACTCACTTTGGCTTCTCTGCCTGTTTTTGGACAGAGGGGTTGGACTTTTGGGGTTATCATTGTTCTTTAAAATGTGAGAAGCACAGGTAGAATGTAGTCAGACAAGACGTGAGGATGGTGGCTAATCCTTTGAGATGGAATTTTTAAAGGGAATTAGACACTGCTGTTTGGTTTGGTATTGGGTTTGTAACACTTCCTAAAATCTTGAAAGTGGAGTTTGCACAGAAATTACCCAATGATGAAAGCACAAATGCTAACACTTGTCATAAATTGTATGTAATTTTGCTTCCAGATGCATCCCATTGAATATCCTCTTTGAGTGAAACAGTGTTGGCTGGTTTCCTTCATTTTGAACATCCAAATTTTGGCAGTTCTGTCAGTTGAGCAGATTCAAGAGGAATTTGTAGCTTCTTTGTGTCTCAAAAAAGCCTTCCACGAAGGAAAGAAAAACATTTTTGCCTCTCTTCTCCTTGCCTGCCCTCCAAAAATGGACTAATTTAATCTATCTAAATATTTCCAACCCATTGAGTAAGGTCTTTTTGTTTGAGCTCGTCAATAAAGTAGGTTAAAAAAGTCACCATTTTTTTCTGTTTGTTTCACAAAACAGTTTCTTCTGTCTTCTGTTCTACGTTAAACTGTACTTTAGGCATTTGGCATTTCCAGAATAAATTCTTTCCTCTTCTTTCATCAACTGTAAGAAGAAAATTAAGTCCTGAATCACTGAAACGGCCCAACAGACCATCTGAAATCAAAGATGTTGCTCATGATTTTATATGCACAATGTGTTTATTTCAGAAACATAACCTCACAGTCAAGACAGCAGACCAGTCCCTTGGTAACTGGTTGAGCCAGCCTGTGTAAATTTAGACAATTACTTCTGAATAGGACTATAAGGGCTAATTAGGGAGGTTAGACTCCTTCCGTAGTCAAAGGAAAAAGAGAGGCACTTCCAGGAACACTGTACAGAAGAGGAACAAGCCTTTGTGATTCTTTCTGCTGTCTAGACAAGATGGGCCTTTGCAGGATAGTTAGCTTTTGTCAATGGATAAAAGAAGGGTATCCCTTATCTCTACTGTCTTGGTTGCTGATCTTTTTAACGAAGGGTATTTGGGAACAAGGATGGCCCTGCATGCATCTGTACAGCCCCTCTAGCTCAGCAATGTCTTGAATTTGGTCGAGTTCTCAAAATACTGGAAAGAGATTTGTTGGGTGAAAGCCACACTAAGATCATTTTCTCTTTTTCAGATGGTCATTTGGAGTTCTGCTATGGGAGATTGTAACTTTGGGAGGCAATCCTTACCCAGGTATTGCTCCTGAAAGACTCTTTAACCTCCTAAAAACAGGCTATAGAATGGAGAGACCAGAAAACTGCAGTGAAGAAATGTAAGTAGCTCTTGATCTGATTAGATTCATAAAACATCTCTTGAATACATTTTTTTTAAAAGCTTTAAATAAATACCACATAAATACTATTCTGTATATCTCAGAGGTATAATCAAAATATGTAGTGCTCAAAAGAATGCAATGAAATTAGCGAACAGTCAAGTGCAGGAAGAGACCTGCCAACAGAATGCTTGCAGCTACATCCAAAATATTTGCATAACACACTTGCCAAACAATTAAAAGAGTTTGATTATTCAAAACTTTTGAGGATGGGGGGAGGAGGAGAATTTCATAAAACACAGTGGTAGCTGAAGTATGCAGGAAAACGTTTCAGTACTTCTCTGCAAATGAGACAGATGTTCCATCCACAGTCATCGTCTATTAGTCGTCCTGGCATTACATAGGAGAAAAGGATACCTCGACCCAGAAATCTATACCCTGGAAGACACAAATTTTCTGTGACTTGATAAGTCCATGGCAATTTCTTTTCTATTTGGAGACGCTCATATTTCATTGGCTGATTTATTAAAACACTCTCAATGTGAAATATCTTCTCACTGTGGTTCTTCCACGGCATTTGGAGATGAGGCATGATTTTATGTTTAGCCTGCAAATCTGGTCATGGTCAGGTTTTTTTTAGAAAGTTACAAGGCTATAATCACTAGGACATCTCTTTTGACTGATTTTCAGTATGAAGGATGCTTTGGCCACGTCCAGGCTGAGAAAATACATTATAAATAATTTAATTTTATTTTTTTAATACCATGTACAGAGAAAAAACATTAAAGGTTTCTGAAGTTAGGGCAGGGTAGAAGTTTATAAATGTCACTGGCAAATATCCTCTAGCAAATACTTAATATTTAATTTTTTTTGTTTGTTTTATCCCAACAGGGAATAAGACTTCATTCCTCAAACATAGGTTATATCATTGATAAATACAAGGTTAGGCAAGCTGACCATGCCTGAATTTCTCTTTTTATTCAAGCCACGCCGTGGCTTTCTGACTGGTTTAGATTTTTTCTGTTTTACTCAGAAATTTTCCTGACAGCCTTTCAGAGTCCACTTTAAGGACCATTTTTCTTAAATTGCATTCTCTGCTTTACCCAGTTGAATAAGAGAGAGATCATGGATGAGGGTAAAAAATGTAATGCTTTTCAGTAGCTTGCTGTAGTTCTTGTAGCCAACTATTTCCACAACTAGAACACTTTTGTGACTAGATCACTTAGTCCTGAAAACACTTGAGATAGAAAAATAACATGAGCGGCACAGGTTGCAGAGTTACATTTCCAGAGCTTGGACAATGTCTGTCTGAGGGTCACTCAACTATAAAACTTTAATTCTGCTCCCTTTCGTTTCTATGCTGTATGCTATGGAAGGGAGTTAAAGACAGAATAAGAATAGATATAATTGAAGTAATCAAAAGAATGCTAGTTTGTGCAAATAGTCTTGGGTTACACTTTACTTTGAAGGAAAGTTTACAGAAACTTTTCAGAATTTAAACAGATGAAGAACAAAATTCTACTTTCTGATATAACTGCAGTTTTTCAGGTTGAGAGATACACATCAGTGATGATAACAAATACCTTTAAAGTCATATGCAAACAAAATCATTTAGAAACCTGGCATGCTGCCTCCATGAGGTGATCCTCTGAGAAAGTGAAAATAACGAAAGAAATCTTAACACTACAGTCCTTCAAGGACAGTCAAGTGCATCATCATTTAAACTCATAAAGACTCTTGAAAATAAAAACCCATTCTTGTGAATGTCAGTTGTTGATTCAGAGGAATGTTCAACAGAACACACAACAAAGACTGATGTACTTGTGTGTGGTCTTCATGCCACAGTTCAACTTCAGTACTATGAACGATTTGAGCAGAAGCATGACCCACTTCTAACATTTTTTTTTTCACCTTGCGGTGGGTCACAGGTACAACCTGATGTTGCGCTGTTGGAAGCAAGAACCTGATAAAAGACCAACATTTGCTGAGATCAGCAAGGAACTAGAGAAAATGATGGTGAAGAGTAGGGTAAGTGTGGGAAAGCATGAGTTTTTGCAAGTTTTTGTCATCATCTGAGTTTGAATATACAAAAATAATTATTTTTTAAAAAAAATGAAAAGTAATTTACTTTTGATCAAATTTTAAAGCATCTAAGTATCTAGTTTCTTCTAAATGCATCCAGCATTTTGAAAGCAGTACCACTTCATATAGTGGCTTTGGTGACTTAACCCTAAATGCAGATGAGTTATCCTTAATCTGTCTAGCTTCCTTAAATAATAAAAAAAAAAAATTAAAATTCACTGTGAAAAGTTACTCCTAAATTGCACTCCTTAATAAATAACCCTAGGAAGCCTAGAACTAGAAGAATGCAGTATTTTCTTAAATCTTAGTTACAGGACGATAGCAACAGAGATATTAAAGCTGTATGATTCCACCATTCTGAGTTACTTCAAAACTACTGTAAACCTGTATAGACTTTCTTTGAATGAATAGATGCTGAAGTCTAAAAATAAGTCAAAGTTCCATATATTTATAAAATATATGCATACCTTATTGCACATAAACACATAATTAAAAAAAAAAATCTACTAGTTATGTGAAGGAGGCAGTTGCAAATGAAAACTAGAGGAAATACGGTGACCATTATCAGATTTGAGAATGCGATGGTGTTTACATTGGGTGCAAAGAGAACTGATAAACAAAGGGGAAAAATTTTTTTCAGAATGAGAATGTAAAAATAAGTTCTAAATTAAAAATGGCAAAGGGAAAGGTCTAGGCTGTACATTAAATCACTGACTTGTCAACCACTTATGGCTGCTGAGAATCAGTATGCAAACAATCTACATGTGCAGTGACAGACTTGTAATACAGAGGCTGGCAAGTTTTCTGAAATTTTCATCATAATTAAACCCGAAACGAATCCAAAACAGAGCTCAACAAATTAGTCTTTTTTCTTCATGCCTTTCTGAACGAAAAATTCTGGAGATATTTCAATTTATAAAATTGGGTAATTTTACCTTCTCAAAGTTTAGTTTCAGTAAATTTCCAAAGGAAAGGCCATTTTCAAAGGAAAAAACAAATTTTAGATTGGTTGAAAATGCTTCACACTTGCTTTTTTGCATCAAAGCAATTCAGCAGCATAGATGAAAACCTATGAATTCTTAAGGGTTGACCTAAGTATTTAGTTTTAAAACAGCAGCAGCAAAAGCCTTATTTGGCAATATTTACACAGATAATTTTATATGTGATTACGTAATAGCTGTTGTAAAATGACAACAAGATCTGCGTACCTTCTCATTCAAGTGTGCCTATGTTATCTATATATATATATTTCAGGCACATGTATGTATCAAGCATTACAGAAAATGAATGTCAAACAAATCAGCACAGCCCTTTAACTTCTGGGTTATTTTACTGATATGCAGAATTAAGGGAAGTATTAATATGTCTCTAGCATATCTAGTGTTCTGGCAAATGAGATACTTCCAAAGGTGGTTGCAGAATGGGAGAGCCTACTCAGGTGCTAGAGGAACTATCAGAGGACAAATGCAGTGAGGTCCGTAGTTACTTGTTTTAAAGAAACCAGATGCACATTTAGCCTTTATACCCAACCAGTAACACTGCCACGAAGGTTAACCCCAGCTTTTTCTGTGTTCGCTTCTTAGGACTACTTAGATCTTGCGGCATCCACACCTTCCGATTCCTTACTTTATGATGATGGGCTCTCAGAAGAGGAGACACCACTCGTGGACTGTAATAATGCTCCCCTCCCTCGAACCCTCCCTTCCACATGGATTGAAAACAAACTCTATGGTAGAATTTCACATGCATTTACTAGATTCTAGCAACACCAAAAAAAATGATTTTTCTTCTGCACTGTTCTCAGACTCTGTAACCCCATTACAGTGTTTCTTGTCTGAATGAAGCCAATCAAAATTTGCTTGGAAGCTTTTTTGGGGTTTTTTGTTTGTTTTTTTCTTTTGGTAAATGTCAAAGTTTGCATCAGAATCATCCTTTAGTCATTTTGCAGCTGTGTTTAAAATAAACGTTTTTAAAAGGATGTGAAAATAAGTAAAATGACTAGATATCATACATTAAAAGAAAAAAAGATCAGGGAAGTATTCTCAGGGGAAATATAAAATGCTAACGAGTATCTAATTCAATTATCCTGTTGGGGGAGACTAGGAACATTTAAAGTATGTTAGATTCTGCACCTCTAATTTAAGCAATAGACTTTTTTTTAAAAATACTGCTTTTTTGCCATAGCTCAATGATAGGACCCATCTGTAACATTTTTCGTTTATCAAGATGGATTTCTAAATTTCAGCTGCTGTTAATGCATTCTGGATCCATAAGCTGAAATGTCTATTTAATGTATCATAGAATGAAACCAGAGTATTATATACAGAAGGTAGAAATACTGTATATAAGTATTATATACGGAATAAATCGACATGTAAAGTCCTTTGAAAATCGAATTAACAATGGGCATTTTGAAAATACACTCAGCTGTTTTCACGTCCTTTGATTTATTACGAAAATGTCAGTACTAAACCTTGATTGAATGATGTAGCAAGTGTTTTGAAAAAGAATATATGCTTTCATATTGTGATGGTGAGATGGACAGTAAAAATGGTTCTTGCCAAAACTCCTACATTTTGTCTCCTGATTAAATATTCTACATGTTTTTAGATATTTACTAACATCACAGATATTTTTTTCATTCTTCAAGCAGTACGACTTTTGAAAAGTTGGATCTTTTAGCTTAAAAGTTGCCATTATTACATGGCTGTGGGTCTATTTTTGATCTATACCCTAGCTATAATTTTCTTTAATAGGTTCCCCCACCTCACGTTCACTTTGGGGCACTCAGTGGCCAGACTGTTAAAAGAATGCAGTAACAGGAAAAATTGCCACCAAGGTTGATGGCAGATGCTGAATGCTTAATAAGCAACAAAATCAGATTTCTGTTTTGAAAATCTTGACCCTGGTATGGTTCTCTGCTTGTACAGCTGGATCAACATGGTGCTAAGCACTCTGCTTCCATTTTGGTGATCACCTGTGCCTAAACTGAGAAGCAGTTACTGGACTCAATGCAAATAATTACAGGCCAGAAATACACGTTTAAATGCTGAATCAAGACAAGAGTGCTCAGGACTTTGTTGGACTACTCAGTTGTGCTCCTTGGATTTCCTAAAATTAAGCAGGGGATCCCTGGTGAGAGTGTGAGAGTGTCCCCAAAACCTCACTGAAGCCAAAGGAAGGTGCCCATTTAAGTAAATGGAAATACTCTCAGTCATTGGAATGGACTTTGGATCCTGTCCCAAATAGGTTTATTAATTCCTGGAGCACTTCCTGTAAAGCAAGAACTTCCTCTTGCAAAGCAATATATTGCTACACGATTGTTAAAAAAGAAAATTATGGCAAGTTGGAGGCTCATCAGAAGAAAAATTATTAGCTTTTTATTATGCACATCTGTGTGTGCGCACACAATTTTTTATCAAGTAAGCACTTTATTTTTTCAAGGTTTTTGCCTACATCTGAATTTGTGCTTCAGGGATTTTGAAACGTCATTTATATGAATTGGTTTGGGACAAAATCCAGTGGACTGGCTTAAAATATTGAAGGGAGTTTTGCCAAGGGCCTTACTGTCTGCACATGAAGTTATGGTTCTTCAGTGCAGAACGAATTATCTGTTTTCATTTTTAGGCATGTCATACCCGAACTGGCCTGAGGAGAGCCCCGTTCCACTCACAAGATTCGATGGCACTAACTCTGTGTTTTCAAGATATGCAAATGATAGTGTATATGCTAACTGGATGGTTTCACACTCAGCGGCAAAATTTATGGACAAGTTTGATAGCTAAAATTTTCTTTGTGAAAGGTAATGGACTCCTGAGGGGAACAAAGATGCAAAGAATGGGAAGTCCATTGGCTCGTTCTTTGTACAATCAACAACTAACTTTTAAATTGGCAAACCCTTTTATTGGTAGTTTCTAAAGTGTGTTATTCATGCGGAAGACTATAACTGGTGATTTCCCCTTTCAGAAAACATATCAAGCTGGATAAGAGTTGTAGTTCCAGTACTTCTTTCTAGATTGCCATTTTGCATACGGTTCCGTTTGGCAACTTCTTACTGCAAATGGCCTCTTGCTGTTTTTCAGACTGACAATCCTGTGTTACGGCTTGCTTGGATGGGAAAATGTACTTGAACTGCTACTTTTACAGTGGCTGTTAGCACTCGACCACTTGATCTAAGCAGGAAGCACAAACAATATATGGAAGGGAGGGGGGAGATAGGCTCCCAAATTACTGGGCTTGCTATCAAATGAGAAGTGTTACAATGATGTTGGCACTAACGAAGCCTGTATCTTGGTTTGGAAGCAAACATTAAGTAACTCAACAGAGGACTTGAGATTCAACATTTGAAGTCTTGTAAAATGTATTGTCTTGTCTTAATGAGAAAAGAGTTTGTTTTATTAGTTTTAACTTATCTTACCTTTAGCACAATGAAGATAAATTTGATACAAGATAAGCTCTATAGACTGATGGCAATCAAGGGTGTTTGTCTGACACGTTTTACTTTCCATCACCTACATCTTACTGATGTTAAAACGTACAATCTTGTACAATCATAATTCCTCTTATGAGTTCAGAATAGACTGTACAGGATTTTTAGGTTGAATTCAAGTGAAGAGATTTGGTTTGCAGTCATGTTCAGCGGGTTGGAGTCCTCCTCTCAGCTCCAAATTGGATACACTGCCATGCACAGGACACTGCCATGATATAACTCCAAATAAACCTATTATCTTGAAAGTCATGAGTAAACGACACTTGCACAGCAAAATTGGTCTAAAACTCTACTGTTAATGAAACTACACAAGGAAAATGTCATCAGAATTTGTTAAGGTGAAATCTAAAAATATTGTGCTTACAACAGTGACTTGATATTTGGCAGAATGATCAGACTGTGAATCGTGTTCTATGTGGGAGAGTAAATGATCAGCACTACTTTTGTCTTTATTTGCAATCTAATATGGTTAAAGACAACTTCTTGTTTGCTACAAATGTTGGGATGTAAATCCTGAGTGACTCGTTGTTAGCATTGTGACGGTTATTCTAAAGAATCCACTTTTACCAAAGCTTGCTCCTGTCAGTTACAATCCAATTTAGCTGTTTTCAGATGTTGTTTTGTGTGTCACCTTTATGTTTCCATTAAAATCTGTGATTTCAGAAACAAGAGAGTCAGACTGCCAAACCCGAATGCAGATTTTCATTTTACAAAAAGTGGGATATAAAGTGCTCTATTGGAATTTAGACACCTTCAGCGCTGGATATCATATTTGATCCTGTCCTGGTTTCAGACAAGCACTAAGCAGAGTGACTTTTTCTTTGTTACAAACATTTACTGTGTTGTGTAATGCTTATGTACAATAAGCAGATAAACTATGTATACAGAAGGGGTTCAGCTGTGATATAACGGTGATCATCGCTAGCATGACACAACTGTCAGAATGCATACTTTTAAAATAAATGGCACTGAAAATTAAGCCCATTATATGGGCTTTTTTGTCTATTGGGAGATCTATGAAAAAAGGAGAGAAAAATGGCACTTGTGGTAACTTTTTGCTTTTCCAGTCCTTTTCCTATATTTTATGTCTGTAAATGGGAATTGTTTGCCATGAGCAGTCAAGGCATCAAGATTTTTGTAGGTATTTTTGATTTTGTTTTGTTTTTATTCTTCCTTAAATTAAAAAATTCTTTTTGTCAGCTATCCTCAGCAACAGTATTCAACTGGGAGATGTGAAACACCCAGTTTTTAACCTGAAAAGCCCTGCAACAACATTGGTGTACAGCAGGTGAGTGGGATAGTAAATGATGCTGAAATAACCCGTGGATGCAGAAAGTATTCTGTATTTTAGACTTGCAGGGTAAGTCAATGTTGTTTCAACCATTAATTCCTGTGAAAAATTTCACTAATAGTTATTGTCCCCTGTGTTACTGGACATAGATCCTGAATATAAAATACACACAGAGTTCATAACTGTAGTTACCATACACAATTACCTGCATTAAGTGCAGCTTAATGAAAAATTCTTAACAAGTGTTTCCTAATCCAACTAATTTTGACTCCCATCCTGCTCATGAATGTTGCTAAGAAATAGATTATTACTTTCAAGTATTTATTCATAATATGAAAGCTTCTGTCTTCCATGTATGCTATTTTCATAAATATTTCCCTTGAAGTGTTTCCTATTTGTTCTGTGTTGCCACTAGTCAGAATGGTGACAATCTTGTTTCAGTTCCCCATTAGGGAGTAAATGTACTTCCCATGTGGGAAAAAAGTGATACTGCAGATGATTACTTCCATCGGTGCCAAAAATACTTATGCCCTTGGCTGCCCTGAGGAAAGTGAATTCGAAGGGAACAAATGACTCACCTAAATGTACAGGTTGGAGGGAATAACTTTCTAAAAATTTCTGCCAGCCTTTTCTAAATATCCGCAGAGATGACAGGGTTTACCTGGGCTGTGCTTTGAGTTGTGACAGATGGGGGAGAGGGTGAATCCCATGTGTTCTTCCAGTCATTACAGCACCACAAGGAAGTTGTAATATTCATTCCTATAAACTTTTTCAGAGATTTGATACTCAGAAAAATCTTCTGTGAGGTTGCAGATTTTAATCTGCAGGTATTAGCCCATTTCATATAGTAGAAATTTTTAAAAAATATTGTCCCATGAAAACGAGGTACATCATAATTAAATCATGTGGGTTTATCTACAATTTATCATGCAAAATGTGCGTGAATCTCTACGGTACACTCAATTGGACCTAAGTAATTCTCAAAAACATACAGTAAAAGCAAGTTTCTATTCCTTGATGTTTTATAATCAATCTTATACAGATAATACAAGCCTCAAAATATATCCAAAAAGGATATTTCTATTATAATTTTTGAAAGTTCAAAAAAAATTACTTGTGATTTTGAAATGGTCGTTTCCAAACTTGTCCCACATAAAAGCCCTGTGCCTCTCACTGAAGCTACAATGGTAAATTTGTAACAAAATACTAGCGATGATGTTCAACAGCACCAGCTCCTAGGTAGCACCTGGCAACGTTCCCCAAAAACAAGGTACAGCTTGTCCGTTCTTTCCAAAAAAGAATCCTGTGATTCACAAAAGATGTATAAAAGTATATAAAATCTTAATAAGAAAACCTCAGCTGTTTAGGTCCACTGCAACAACCTCATATAATTTAAGTAGCCCCTCTGAGGGATCATTCATGAATAAATTAGTCAAAATCAACTATTCCACTAGTCTGCTAGCAGAATTACAAAAGATATCATCAAAACATGGACAAAGTAGCAATAGCCCAGGCCTACCCATCCTTAGCACAATATTGTGACTTGTCTATCTAGAAGCAGTATTCAGAAGCAGGTACTAGAGACTAGAAGACAGGTAAGCACAAATATCTCTCTAATGTATATCTAGACAGTGAATGAAATATTTTTCAAGTTCTTCAGTAAAGATGAGTTACTCAAGCTGTGTTTCAAAGTTTCTCATTTCTAATTCTTTGGGACAGCAACCTGTGTCTTCCAGAGCGAAGACTATGTATGTCAGAGACATATATACTCTTAATGCATTTTGAGATCAATAGTTCCTTTCTTTTCCTGGTGTGTTTTTTGGTTTTACCTGGTTTTATAAAGGGTTGTGTGGTATTTCAACACAACAGATTTCTTGCTAAAAAATGATTTCTTTGACCTGTTAGGAAAGTTGATTTTGCTGATAATGTTCTGAAGTTAAGTAAAAAGGTTTTGCCTACCTGAGTACAGACAAGTATGCCTCCCCTTAAACTCATCTGAAATAATTAGCTCCTTCCTTTGGGAAGGTACCTTTCATAAAAATCTAACTGCACCTCATCTGGGAGCTGTTTCATATGGATTACAGGCCAATCTGAAATGGTATGAACAATTTAAGAGCATTGCAGTTGTACTTTTACATGTCAAGAAATAACATTCCAAGTTTCTCTATTAGAAAAGAGAACGAAAGAAAAATGTGTTCATCTCAACGTAGTTAAAAAAATTAGTAACTTTTGAAGTCAATGACAATGTAATGATTGCTGTCCTTAGGTATCAGACAGTTTGATTCTATCCTTGCTGATATAAGCAGATGTGTATTAACATATAACTGGTTTAAGTCCATTTTTACCTTGCTATGAGAAAAGCTTTCCATTTAATCAGCTAAGTTTGTAGAGGTTCAAACCATTACACTGATAGCAAGTAATGTGCATATTTTGAATAAATAGTGATGTTTACAGTAGGTGTTTCTGTTTGTTTTGGTTTTTTTCATTGGCTCCAACATATAAAAATGGATTGGGTTTTCACAAAGCACTCAGCTTTGACCTAGGTCACCTCCCATTGTGTCCCGGATAAACCTCTGCTGATTTTCATGGAGAGAAAGTATAGCCAATGTGCAAATCTTGACTCAAAATATCAATATAAAAAGATGCTTATTTTATCACAATATTGATGTAGTGGAAAGAATACAAACATACAAATAAAGCATGAAGTTAGAAACTTGGGCCGGGGAAGCTGAAAGATCAGCTTCATTTTCTCACCTTCTCTGCAAGTGATTAACAGAACCAGATATTATGATTATTTCTTAACTTCAGAAATGTCTTGGCATGTCCAAAAGAGAAATAGAGGTCCCCTGCTAGAAAGCATGTCCATTGTAGTCGGACTAGGTTTTTATGTGTTTCATTATCTCCTCTAAGTGGAGGACAGAAGAGACGTAAGCCAATACATCTAGGGCCTTAGTTTTAGAATTCTGTTTGCAAAATAATTTATTGAATACTGCAGGGACATATGATTTTAATCTTTCACAACACTGGTGCCAAAAGTAGCTGTCAAGTTACTAAATACCACACTAGCACTACATCTGTTGGACAAGGAGTCAACAGATGACTGCAAAGAGCCAGATGTGTGGTCTCTTTCTTCTCTGCAATCACCCCACGATTACCTTACTCCCCATTTCATCTGTTCTGGGTAGGAACATGGATTTGCCCACAGGGCAAATATGCTGAAGTCTGCAGAGACAGGATTTGAGATGGTGAGGAGACGGGGACCCCTTCTTCTATACATGTTCTTCAGGATGGGGTTCCCTACCTTCTCACTCTTGAAGCTTGTGAACAGACAAGCTACTGAGCGGACGGTACCAGCAGAAGACAAATGTCCTGCCTCCCAGGCACAGGCCACGCAGAGGGTTTATGTGAGGGCTCACAGGAAGGCTCGCTGGGAAGCACAGGTCCAGTCTCACGCTCACGTTCATAAGCCCTGCAATGTAACAAAAGCAACGTGAAATTAAAGAACGGAGGTTCACTTTAAAAGTATAGTCCTGATCTGAACTGAGAAGTTAATGTACGTGTACCCTCTGACGTTGAGAGGGTACAATATATGTATAATAAACATAGCATGGTTTGTGACTGTATATGCCCAAAGCTCTGAGGTTGGTATGAAAATAGGGAGTTATCCTTACATAGAATCATTTAGGTTGGAAAAGACCTTTAAGATCATCCAGTGGGGCCGTAGCTAACACCTGTCCTCTCACAGAAATCTGTAGGAGTTAAAACCCCTTGGCACTTCTGTGTTCTCACTGTTAACCAATCTGTTTATATGATTGTCTCTAAACGTGCAATTATCACTAACCAAAAACGTTTGGATTTTTAATTTCAACAAATTGCCAGCTACAAAAGGAAAGTTTAGAAATGCCAAAATAAACTTTTAGGAGATTCAGAGATATGCAACAGATCCAGTCTGTGTTCAGATGCAAATGAAGCAAATTTCCTTGGACACACATGCATTTCTCTAAGTTTTTGCCTTATGCTAAGCAGACCTCTCATTTAGGTCTCAAGAAACTTCGGACTGCCAACCTTGAGTTTTTTAGCCCATGATATAGACACAGATTTGAATTTCTGTAGAAACTCAGCCTAGATCTGGTTATTAATAAAACATTGCAGTTTCCAGTCTTAATTTTTATGCATTCTGCAGGTCACATAAGTACTTATTAAAGCCCTTATACAATTTTTCAGCTGTTCAGGGCTTTCCCTCCTGATGTGATCATAGTTGAAAGAGTTTGATGTGAGCACTGATTTTCATTTGCAACATGTGCTATTTTCATAGCTCCCTGCCAATGCAATTTCCTGTCTGAATTTACTATGCTTAAGGATGGAAGTATTTTAAAATTTTTAATAAAACTACATCAAATGAACCTGTATTATAAGCATTGGGTTTGCTAAGAATCTTGCTTGCCTGTATTTAGGTAAATTTTAAGGTTATTTTGGAAAAAAAAAATAAAGCATTCCATTTCCTCTTTCAGGTGTTGTGAAGAAGTAAACTATAGCCCAGTGCAAATCAATAAAAGAGTAGGATACTCTGATGCTACTTGTTTACCAAATTGCTGCCAATAACAAGAATAGTTTCTATTTATTCAAGAGTATTCCACAAAAAAACAAAGAGATTTGGAGTAGCTTCATTAGAACCTTACATCTGTTGGGAAGGAAAATGTCAAAAGGGTAGAATCCCAAGGGGTGGCTGATATGACAGTGGAGGGGGCTGCTCTTGTTCCTTGAAAAAGCTGGTAAAGGGTTCATCCTTAATGATTGAAAAGTTTGGAAGAGCACTGTAAAGACTGAGATGTTGGAAAAGCCTATGGAAATACCCAAGAGATAAATACCAGATTTATAGTATTTTTTTTTAAAAATGCGTATGCAGCTTCAAGAAATCGCCCAGCAAGAAGGAAGCAGAGTTCACTGTTCTCCAAGATAGTTTTTGTCTTTTCAGGACTGTTAGTGATTGATTTGAC